TCTCTCTCTCTCTCTCTCTCTCTCTCTCTCTCACACACACACACACACACACACACACACACACACACACACACACACACACCCTCCTTTGATCGCGAAGCTCTCACTCAGACTTGTTCTCATCTTTCATCACTGACTACTGTTGCCTTCCCCCCTCCTCCTTGTCTAAGAGCAAACAGTTCTGAGTTTTTCCTCTGATTATGCTTCACTGAGGATGACTGTTTGAAAGTTGAGTCCGTGATGATTTGAAATACAGACGTGCACTCTCCAAAGCGGTTATATAAGTGAGTTTTTTTATTTTTTAGGGAGGCTGGGGGGGCCTCTGCAGCCTTAAAGTTGCCAGTGAGTGTTGAATACATTTACATAAGATATTTTCCCTCTCTTTTAAGCTTGCAGCTTTGGATCCTGCTTTGATGGCAACCAAGTTCCCCTCCATTTGCTATATTAAAGGGGTTTATGCTCCACAGTCAAATCTCAGAATAAACCAGAGAAGATTAGGCTGGTCCTCGCATGATTGCTGGTCTACGGGAAATTGACCGGTTCCCGTTTTGCCACATTCACGGTGTATTTTTTGTGGGGAAAATGCATCAAAGTTTTCCCCGCTTGTCTCAACAAGCTGTGAAAACAGCAGGACACTCCCGATGAATTTGGTCGGCTCAGTCCAGCATCAAGCAGAATATGTCCTCAACTTGTATGTAAAGCGAGCACGGAGATGCGTTTTTTCCTTGTTGTTCAACTTCTACCAGTCAAAAAGTCCTCTTTGCCAACTTTTTTCCTTCATTTTCACATCCTCGGATACATTTTTTATCTCACATCAGCAGCAGCAGCAGCAACATGCAGCAGCTGCCTTTTCTATACGACACTTATGGAGCATTTCCACTGCAGCGGGTAGCCCCGTTTAAGCGTCCTTAATCGTCCTCAAGCGGCCAGGCCAGTCTTTGGTGGCAGGCAATCCTTCCGCTCGTCGGAAAAAACCGCTCGGGGCGCGCCCATTCTTGCGTCCGCCAGGTAGAAGTTACACTGTGTTGAGTTTTTTGTGTGTGTCGTTACTTCTACCACCCTTCGCTAGCAAGGTACACAACGAACACCACCCGCACACAGGCAAATTTTTTACGACACACTACTCGCTTTTACCGCCGACGTTCGAAGAAGATCTATATATCACCTCGATCCTCCCAGAGCCGCCCCGCTCAGAATCCTGCTAAGAGCCGCAGACTGGGTTAGTCGTCAGCTCTCACAACTGCCGTGATCACAGTCCGGCGACTGGACTATCTTCGCTGCTAAACCACTCCCACGCGCGCTTTTCTCCCTTTTTCATGGCGCGCGTCGGCGACGATGCGCATAC